TTTCTATTCTTCCCAATCTACCCCTTATGATAAACAAGGGCCATTTTCTTTTAAGGTAATTTTTTCATGGAAGATTTATAATATTCCTTTCACTTATATCACTGTAACATAGAATTTGCATACAAGTATATGTACTTTGGTTTTGTACTTCTAATCCTTTTTTAATATGACAAGTCATACGTTACTATTGTTTCTGATGCATTTCATACATATAAATTCCTTTCTAAGTTTATCTCCACTACATCTTGTATTTTTCAACAATTTCACAACTATAACAACGTACTTTGTTCCTTGAATTGAAATCCAAGTTTCAACCTTTTTGCACCATTTTACTTCTAATAGGTATCATAACTTTTATCAAGATAGATTTTATCACAATACAACATGTAATACAAGTTTTGTACCATTTGTATATTTTCTCCCATTTTGAGTACTCATAAGTGCGTACTATGCTATTTTCACCATTTTTTGTTTAATTAATGTTGTAATTAATAGTATAAATCTTCATATCAATCTTATCATGACTTGTTTATTAAACATAGAAACTTGCAAGCAAAGCTTCGATAACTTCCTCCCTATTAAAGAGTTACCTTACAATTTAGTTTGCTATAGCAATGCACTTTCATCAACTCGCAATTATTTCTTGACAATATATATCACTCTTTACATTACATAAGCCATTTCTTTATAGCAATTGTGCTTTCCCCACACTTGTGATATATATTGGAGTATATCACATAAATTTCTTTTTTCTTTCATATGGTTCATATCTTTTAATTTAATGCATTTAGGTAATGCATTTTTACTATTTGCTAATAGTGTATCGTTCTTATTATAAACATCTTGCAATATGTTTATACTAACGATGTTATTATTAATTTCCTTGTTTCGCCGTATGAATTTTTGTTGTATTGCACCAAGCAAGATGCATTTTCAAACATTATTTTCGTCTGCCTCTTTTATATATAATTGTTTTGATCAAAACTTTATTTTTATTTTTTATGTTCCACTTAATATATGGTCACCGTTCTATATATAGATTGTTGAAATTTGAAAATTACATTCTATATGTAAATTATAAAAATTTCCATGTCATAATACCCAATATGACTTATATTGGTATACATAAGTTTTGATGAAATAATCACAGATCGCGAAAGGCTAAATTCAAGGACAAAATTTATATAATATGACAAACAATATGTGGGACCAAATAAAAAGATTATTGCACTATAAAGAAGATGGACAAAAATGAAACTTTAATTACCCTAAATTGTTTCTAATTGATAAAAGACAACTTTTTTATCCATCAAAAGATCACAATGTTTTGTTTTGAAAATTAAAATATATAAATTATTTGTTTGTTTTGTTAGGTCTAAATTGACCAATACTGTCGGTCCAATCACGAGTTCTATTTATAAATTTCGTCATAGATATTTTAAATACTTAATTAATAAAATTAAACGTTTTTTAAAGATATAATATAATAAAAACATATTAATAATATATGCATGATAATGTTTATTTAATCTAACACATAAGCGGTGGCTATATTACTAAAAATGGAAGGGAGTAGAAGATAATAATAATTAGTTATCGTCTGTACAACTGAGAAAAAGAATTAACTGCCGTTTATAAAATTGCTAACAAATTTATTATATTTTTTGTATATAAGATTTTATGAATTTTTTTACATAATCAATCATTAAGCATTAATCAAACATTAAGCATCAAGTATCAAGTCTATTACAATACATGCTTAATCAACTAAGTAGACATTAATTTCATTGTTTGGATACAACAAATATTTACTCTATATTTCATTCGCTATTGACGCTTTTATTTGTTCTCCCTACGTAGTCCATGTCCTTGAAGCGTGATGTCGTTGATCTTGTGTAGGCGTGTAGCATTTACACATCACGTGTCACTTCGTGACTTCGTCAAGTTTTATATCACAATCTTCTTTAAGCAAAAAATTGTGAAGGATGCAACAAGCCAAAAATAATTGTGATCGAATTTCACATGAGTAAAACAGCTCAGTTTCACTTCTAATTAAAGAAAATTGTCTCTTTAACACACAAAAGCACTTTCAGTGGAGTTCCACAATGATGTGTGAGGATAGTTAAATATTTCACGAGGATTTTGAGGCGCGAGTCGAATAGTCCTTCAAATGATATATAACCCCTCTGATGATACATCATGGAGTGTACTTGGTACATGAAGGGTAAACCGCATAAAATCTATTGTCTAGATTAATTACCTTATGTTCTCTTCCATTTTCACATTTTGGTACTCTGGAATTGGATGTTGTACCTTCCTCATCGCGGTCAACGAGAATTGAGTAAAAAAAGAAACTACTTCATTATTGAAAAAAATACATACTAAATTAAAGATATAAATAAGAAAAAAATTTAATCGAACATAATAGAATAATATGTGACGCCTAATCATTGTCGTTTATAACTTCATTATAATCCTCGTCCGAATCATCTACAAACATGTCCGTTTCGTCATATGTATCGTCGAACAAGTCGTCCTCAAAAGCATCGACAATCGAATTCACTTGAGCATTGAAGACATGTTCGACAAAATCAGTGCGATGGTTTTGGTGTCAAACACGGTCATATACTTTCCATTTGTTCGTCATTTACAATGGCGTACAAATACCTACTCCTTCGCCGTTTGGTAAATTCTTATTTTCATTGTAGTGACAAATACCATTTCTTTCGTCTTTTTTAATCATATTATAGGTATGGGTCACCCCCTCTACACCAATTTTTTCCCATAAAGCTCTCAACACAACACAATCTATTGATGGAAATACCCACCACACCACCACAAAACTTTAATTTCCAAGTCTTTTCTTTCGATTTTCTCGTTTTTCTATTTTTTATTTTTAAATAAATATAAATATAAATTATATAATTTTATAAAGCATAACATTTGAATAACAATTTACTATTTACATAAAACCATAACATTTAAATGGAAAATGAAAACATTACAATATTACAAAAAAGGTTACGCTAAATTAAAAGCATACAACGATTCTAACTATTAAAATTTTACCCTTAATTTTTTCACGATCTTCGTCTTCAACGCTTCCACCACTTCAAGATCTTCGGGCGCTATACCTTCGGTTTTTAGTGCATAAACGTACTTGGGGTATTAGATAATCCAAATAGTATAACCATTAACTCGTATAACCAATCACAAGTCTTAAAAGTCGTCTTCCACTCATCGCCCGACCTCATTCAAATCCGGTGGTCTCTATTTCTCAAATCGATCTGTGAGAACATCTCTGTGCCATGTAGTTGATGTAACAGACATTCAACCGGGGAATATGAAAATGGTATTTGATTATTATCTTTTTAATAGCTCGACAATCGATACATATATGAAACGTCCCACCATGCTTCGGAACCAATAGAGCGGGAACAACACAATGACTCATGCTTTCCCGAATCAGACCCTTTTCTAACAATTCCAACACTTGTCATTGAAGCTCCTTATAGTTTTTCGGATTCATCCGATAGGCTGCCTTGTTTGGAATGGAAGACCCTAGGATAAAGTCAATACATTGTTGGATATCTCTCATTAATGGTAATCCAGGTGGGATCTCTTTAGGCAAAATATCCATAAATTCATTAACCAAAGGCAGAATTGCATATGGAATTTACCCACCTTATTCGTTCTCCTCTTCAACCTCCGATGCAAACATAAATGGACTACTCTTGACTACCAACTCAAAATCAATATGCTTCAGAAACAATGTAGTCTCTTTTTCTTAAACCCTACGTGTATCTAGTTGAACCAACGTGAGGTTCACTCCATCCTTTAGAAAACTATAGGTATTTCGAAACCCATCATGTTTTGTATGCCTATCAAACTACCATTGTCTGCCACACCCCCAGCATGTGACGGAAACGTCGGGTTGTGCGATGTTAGGACGTTGGATTACGTATACAATATATATATATATATATATATATATATATATATATATATACATTAAAATGTCACACAAACATTACTACTTATTTATTAAGTAATGAATATTACATAGGTGTTTGAGGTACGAGTACATTACAAAGGCAAAATAAAGCAATATAACACATACGCTTCCAGCCGTGCTTCCATCATCTTCCAAACTCATTCTCCTGAGAATACATGTGGATTTGAAAGGTCAACATAATGTTGGTGGGTTCATTGGTTCATATGCATTAAACATTTTATAGACTTTTTATTTGTGTTAGAAATGTTATGATCTTAAACTCGCATCCTTGAGTTTGTATACACTATCACTACATTCTTAGGTTTATTCCTAATAGTAGTTTTAGATAGTTAAAGGTTAAAAATGTTACGATGAGTTCCTATAATCGAGCTTATGACTATTGTACTCCACGACATGACGCTTCATCGGACGTTGCCAAAGTTTAGAAAGTTATGCCTGTTTCGAATTAACCATCAGGTTGTAGCTAGCAACCGTAGGTGGGGGTATGAACTCGTATAGACCTATACATATCTTTCCCAAAAATTTAAGATTTAACGATTATATGTTGGGGCTGGCTAAAGGTTATTTAGCTTGGGATGAATATGTAACATCCCAAAAATCATGATAAATTTTTTCATTTTTCAAACCATTTATATAAACCATAAGTCATACAAAACATAGTTTTTGAAAGCCATAATTATAAATGAGAGTATCCCAAAATCTTCAATCAACAAAATATCCAAGGATGATGTACACAATCATGCATTCGCCTTGCCCCGATCATCTGATGTACCTAAAAACATGAAATCAAACTGTAAGCACAAAGCTTAGTGAGTTCCCCCAAAATACCACCACACAACATATAATAGCATGCATGTTGGGTCCACAGTCATCTGACTGGATTACCCTGATCCCACAACATGAGTCTAACTTACCTTCTGGCCCACAACCCATGTATGGATTGCTCCCATGCCCACAACATAAGTCTGGCTTGCCTTACCGGCCCTCAACTTATGTTTAGCAAGTTCCATCCTCCAGTCATCGTGTGATGTTCGTCGGTATTCTGATGTTTCTGAGGAACTTTTCTACCCTGATCCTCACTCCCCTCCTTCTTCTCCTTCCTTCCTTTGCCTCGGCTACCACCAGAGTCACTTGACTGATCCGTGTGGATGGAAATGTAATCCCATTCCTTATTTTTCTTCTGAGCCTCACGTTCCTCGCATCTCTTTTTCATGGCCTGGAACCGCTTGAAACTCTCAAACTCCCTCAACTCTTTATCCTCATCTCCATGTTCTTTCAAAGCACTTGCCATAACGAATTTTTTTATAACAGTTGTTACCTGAGGTGTTTCCTCTGGTGCATCCAAATCTCGCATTCTTTGTACCAGACTTCCCCCTTCAGCTATATTTTCGATTGTGTTGCCTGTGGTGATCATTTGTTTCGAGTTCGGTGGATGGCGCCACTTGATGAATATGGTCCTTCGGGGATTAGGATGTAATGCTCAGCAAGGTGAATACATCTAATGTTGGAGCCTGAATGAACCTAAAAAGTGGGAACAACGTCATATTTTCACCGGGTGACGAGCCCGTGAGAATGCTCTGATGCTTAAGTACGTTGTGTCACACCCCCAAACCGGAACGGCGGAAACGTTCGGGGGCGGAGGACGTCATGTAAGTATCACAACACATGCATTATAGTAATCAAAGTACAGCCAACCATTGCATTAATAAGTATAAGTTTTACATAGGTATTTTAAATATTTCAAATTAAAACATCAAAGTAGATACAGAAGACAACAGGAGTCACAGTACGGTACTAAGCAGTCTTCTCAAAAGCTTCGGGGTGTACCTGTCTACTAGAGCCTTGAGAATACAAGTAAGTTTTGAAAGAGTATCATCATAAAGCTGGTGAGTTCATAAGCATTTTGTTTTAGAAAGAGGGTTCTCGGTTCTTTTGAGAAGTGTGATATCTTTCCCAGAAAACCTTATACTGTCTGGTGAAATAAATGTATAAACCTCAAGCAAAATGATTCTTTGATATCTGTTGAAAATGTTCCTCAAGAAAATCCCATATTTTCTTATGAAAAGCATGATTAAACCCATTTCTTCTATGACTTCTTTGTTCATACGAGTCACGCATAAACCAAGGAGTCATGGAAGAAATATGAATTATACGTTAGTTGATTAATAGACCATCTGTTTATAAAATACTGATGTTTACCCTGGGAAATCCTGCATTTCCCTTAAGTGAAAGTTACTGAATTACCCGTTCTAAATCGGAAAGTACAAGTATCTACCATACTTATATCGTTTAAGCATTATTCCTTTTGAAA